TGAAGATGTGGTAATAGGTAATAAGCAGTGCTAAATTTCATGGGTACATTCCTATGTTTAAAGAAATGATAATTTGCCTCCTGGTGGTCTTTGTTTTAAGAAAAGTTCTGGTAAGTGGTGACTTTCAAAGAGCCAGTGAAAACACAGATCAGAAGTATATGTAGCAAATGGCTCCAACGACATGGCAGATTATGTAACAAGTGAATTATATAATGCCGAAATCGTTTTAGGGATAAACAAATAGATAACTAAGATGTGGGCTTGCAATAATTCAGGGCTGGGGAAGTGGGCAGGTGGTTTGAGTTCATTGAGAGGTACAAAGGAAAACACTATACTACCTCTTTTTCGTAGTAATAAAAAGTTTATAAAATTTAAAGGATTTGGGAGAATAAAAATAATGAAAATAAATACAATAGGCTATTTTCAAAAGATTTTCTCATCGTTTTATAGCATATAAAATGATTGGAATATAGAAAAATGCATCTTTTATTCTTTTAGATGCTAAAAGTGAAAATTATATTTTTAAGTGTATGTTTTTATTAATCATCCTCTGGTCTCAGAATTATGCCATTGATGGCCAAAATAATAGCAGAACAATCAATAATAATATAGGACTGCTCAATAATTATCAGTTCTCATTTGCTCAATCAAATGTTGAAATAATATATGTCATCCAAAAACTTTCTAAACTTGACTTAGTCTGTGAAACTCACTTCAGTTCTATTATCTGTAAATACCTATGGTGTCCTCTTATACCCTATGTATATCTTGGTAGTTTCTGACCATCTCCTTTTCCCAACACATTTTGGAGAAAAGTGCTACCCCAAAATTGACCATAGAGGTTTCAAACCAAAGAAGGAGCAAATATAACCTTTTATTAAAGGTGAAGGAGCCATTGAGACTATAAAGCAAATAGTTCCCTAGAACTGTATTTTCTTTGTTCACTGCGAAAGACACACTCACTCTAGCCCAAGAAAGTGTGATTCACAGCTCCTTCCAAATTGGGGTGTTCACTCCATGCTTATTTTGAGTAAGTTGAATCCAGCATGTGGACAAAGGGCTACAAACCCATTAGCAATTGATAAAAGCCATTAACATTTTATCTGCTGTCTTTGGAAAGGACTGAAATTTTTCAACTGTTATCTTGTATTGAGGACATTAAACAAGATGAAGCTACAGTTAGAAACAGTATTCTCATTCAACACTACAAGAAGAAAGAGGATATGTGCTTGATGGGAGGAATGGGCAGACCCAAGAGCTGCAAAATAAGAATGTCCAGGGCTGGGGAGAATGGGTCGGGAGTCACAGTGTAAGGCATCCCCAGTTGGCTCTCAGCAAGCTGATTGATTCTGCATGCTCATTCAGGTCATGGATTCACTAGCCATTGGTTTTCTGTTGGGATTTTTTCTATTGACTTAAATTTTCATAATGAACAATTTGTGCTGTTTGTTTGTTTCTTTGTTTGTTTGTTTTTTAAAGCCATGTATATCTGGAAAGAAAAGTAAGGCTAATTCATTTTGCATCATGGACAACTTCCAGTAGCATGTATTTTTTCGAGATTTTTCACAAGTGCCATTCCAAATATATGACCCTATGTTTAGGGTATTAGGAAGTAGTCTATTTACAGTCTAATAAAACCCTGAACAAGGTCTGTACTTCAATATCTATCTTTCTCAGTGCTCCAGGTAATATTACCTTATAGGCAACATTGATTTTGATTATAGCTGTGAGAAAACCAGGGGCTAGGGAAGTGAATAATTATTTAACCTAAGATGAAAATTGAAGCAGATAAAAACCCTCAAAAAGCAGGCATGGAATTGACAATTTTTTCATTATAACTTCTATGAATGTACCATGACATATGCAGTAATTCATAAGAATAGTCGGAAAAGTCAAGTATTTCATTCCCTTCTACAACAAACCTCTCAAATACTTTCTTTGATGTTATTTTACCTGATCACTAACCCATTCACTGCAGAGCATTGTACATTTCCTAGAAGGAGAGGCTTGGAGACACCCCATGCAGAGAAGAGCCAGCACAGCCCACCATCATTTGAATTTTCAGAATTTCCAGCTCAAAGCAGGACTGTCATTGTGCTAGCTGAGAAGTATTGTAAAGAACAAGCAATTTTTGCTGGTGCAGCAAGAGCCTTAGTTCAATTCATGCAAATCTTCTCTTATTACCTCGCCAAAAAAATTCATGCATTCAAAAAAGTAGTAAAAGTTTACCTGAAAAGATCCACTTTTGTTGAAGGAATGCTCTTAGGAGACATTATCTATGCCATAAACATATGAATTTCTAGATCAATTCCAAGAAATTAACCAGCTAGACATCCATGATGACCTGCAGTAATGTCTGGCATGCTCCGAGTGACCCAAATGCCCCAGTGTTCCTCTGAGAACTGGTTTGGTGGCAGAAGGCCACTTGTATACCAGTTGATTGGAAACCAGAGTGTATAATATGATGAAAGGGTTGTTATAAGCTGACTACATCCTTATGATAGTCAACAAGAACCCATTTAACCCTCAGGATTTTATTTTTCTATGGGGATAGGTAAACATGAATGTGTTCTTTTAATAAAAAGCACCTTTCTGAAATAGTCAAAGTTTTCATTTACCTCCATTTCCATATCTCCTTTTATTTCCTTATCAATTTTGCCATGATCCTATAGCTGAAGACTTAGTATTTCCAAGTATTTTACAAATATTTCCAAAATGCACCCCCCCTAAATTATCTACTTTGTTATATTCTCTCACCTTTAAATAGTGGTATTTACTCAGGCTAGCCATTCTCAGTTATGTTAAGAGGAAAACAATTCAATTGGCTTAATTCTTACTCATACATTATTGATCTAAAATGCATGAATTATCTGAATTTGAGAAGGAGAAGAACGATCATCTATTATTAAAGTTGATGAAATAAAGTAAAATCTCACTCATTTTAAGAAAAAGATATTTTGTAATGGGGGATTACCATGTCAATAGACTATTCTTAGACTATATACTTATCCTTGATTTTGTTAAAACAGGTATTCTCTCAGGCTCTTCCTGGTGGTGCAATAGGTTAAAACACAACACTATGAAGTTATCTGCAACCACTGCAGCACAAATTCGATCCACGACCAGGGACTTTACCCACGTGGCATGGAAGACTTCTTCTGACCCGCCCACTGCTCCCCTCAGCAGTGTACTCTTGTCAATCTGCCTGTTCCACTCCCCACTCTGTCTCTGATGAATCCTCTTACCCACCACACCTCTGGCCTGTACCCCAGTTCTGAATGGCTAAATAATCTTAAAAAAAAAAAAAAAGTATTCTCAGCAGGGATACACTCTTCATTTTCTGAAAAATTGTTTTTAAACAGGACTCAAAGGCTTCAACCTATTCTGGAAAAGTTTACAGCACTCATTTAATTCCAAAAAATATTCTTGAATCCAAGACATTGTCCTATGCTGCTGCAAGTTTTCAGTTATTTCTTTAGCTGACTTGGAATTAGCAGGCTCTCAAAATACTCCAAATGTCTCCCGCAATACTACTGTACATTCCAGACAGTGCCATTCGAGTGGTAAGGCACAGATAGAGGTACAAACAGGGACACGTGGAAGGGTTCAGATGTACCTAAAGACCATTTGTCATACAAGTAGCTGCAATGTGAACTCTTACCTACCCTCCATTCCCTCTCTGCAAAGCCAAACATAAATCTTTTCTCTGCCACTCACCCCTATTTACCAGCTAAACAAATTCCAAATTAGAAAGAAAAAAAAAGGTATTTCCTTTTGCCTTTCAGATCTTTAACTAGGAGAAATGCTGGGTGCTAAATGTTGACAGTTATTTGCTTGAGGTTTATTTAGCATTTAAAAGTAGCATTCCTGCCATCTTCCTTCGATATTATTAAAAGATTACAACTTTCACACCACTTACTGACTATCGAAACAATTTTTATTTCCATGTTGTTATCAGAATTGTTCATGTACATATTCTGTATCAGAATACATATCATTTCAAATTTCATGAAAATCTAAAAGATACGGTGTTTCTCATCATCCTTTATCAACTTTATGTGTAATGCTCTCTGGTCATTCATATTTAATTAAAAGTTTAACAACCGCCCATAACGCAACCACTGGCTCAGTAAGTCTTAAAAGAGAACATCCAGGATGTTGTTTCTTCCTGTTTCCATGCTGACTGACCAAGCAAATTTCATAATTCACAATTTCTACATTTTACTAAATCAAGATTTACATAAATTCTTAAATAAAATACCATCATTTTTTAAACTTAAGTTTTTAATCAAATGAATTACTATCGTATTCAGAGTTAAGAACTATGGCTAGGTATAGTTTTAGTTATAAAATTAAAAACACACACACATTCACAAAGGCCAAATAGATTTTGATTTTCACAAATTTAAAGCAACTACCCAATGGGGCGCTGTGATTTTTCACTCTCCATGAAGACCAATTTTCTCAATGAAAACATGGTGAGAAATGAACCAGAGGTCTTCACCGTGGCCAGCATAACTCACCGGGGTGGCTATTTCTTTTGAAGTAGGTAGTAGAGCTGGACTTAGATTTGGAAGTAAGGTAAGTTGAGTTAGAACCAATGGAACTTGAAGACAAAGATTTTCCCAGATTATCAGAACTTTTCTTGATGATATTGGTGGCAGTTTTACTCCAATCTGAAAGAAATGACATTTCTTTATGAATCTCTTGGGGGGACACTCTACCTAAAGAATCACCACTGCAGGGCCCTCCCTTGTGGTGCAACAGGTTAAAGCGCAGCACTATGAAGCTGGCTGCAACCACTTCAGTACAAGTTCAATCCCCAGCCAGGCATGTGACCTACATGGCACAGCAGACCTCTCCTGTCCCTCTGCTGTTTCCCTCAGCAGTGTACTTTGTCAGTATGACTATTCCGCTCCCCACTCTGTCTCTGGTGAATCCTCTTACTGCCTCAGCATCTCTGGCCTGTACCCTAGTACCGTATACATAAACAAATACTAAAATAAAAAAAAAATCACCACTGCATCAGTTACATAATTTATCTAGAGTATTGAATATAAACCATAATAAGCTGAAGGATCCTTAAGTTTCTTACTTTGAGCCTATATACATATTGTCTAGACATCTACTTTAGTGCTCTAAGAGTGAAAAGTAACCACTGATGCTGTGGGGGATAGGCCATGTCCTTTAGCTTACTTGCAGCTCTGATCACCAAAGCCTCAATGAAGCATCTTTACATATTCAACCTTGACAACCTGCTACCACTGACAATGGCTGTGGGATCCCAGCTCCCCTGATTCTTGAGAATAATGTCCTGGGTTTCCTGCTTGTCAGCTAGGGCAGGGGCGTCTCACCAAGGGCAAATGTCCCGGTATGAGAAACATACTGGGAAACCAGTGTCTGCTGAAACAGCAGGCAGATATTAGAATAGAGATAACACGCTTGGCCTGGCAGGAATAATGGAGCCCCCCAGGCAATGGCCCCTCGTCAGGCCACCCCAGCTTGCATCCCGAATCCCATCACCCACAAGGGACACTCTCCCTAGTACTTCCCCCAACCTTGTGTTCAATCCCAGCCAATACGACGAGGCTGCCTGTGGGTGGGGCTGCACATCACACCCCCATGTGTCCCCTCCAGGCTTCTCATTACTCCACATAGGCTCTGAGTCCTCTCTCTCTCACCCTGTGCCACTTCTAACATTGTCCCCCAGCCCAGGTGAAAATTAGGTTGCTCTAACAATGGAAGACCAACTGACGAATATTTCCAACTCTTAAATGTAAACTCCAAAGACCAAGCTGCCCCTTTACCTGAATTGTCTGCCAGTCGAAACCTGCCACAGCACAGATGCCGCCTCCACTGTTTTTGAACGTTCTCCTTCATGGCACAGTGGAAGATAAATATAAACAAACCTGGGACAAAAGAAATATGTTTTTAAGATCAATCTTATTAAGCATAGATTTATCTTAATTTAAAATTTTTTACATCTGATTCATGAAGCAGATAGAAAAGATTGCCTGGAATCTTGAAGTACATAAATGTTTTTATTATTGAGAGCAGACTACAGAGAGCCAGATAAAAGCAGACTGCCTTAAAAAAAAAAAAAAAGTAGCCTGCCTTTGGTCTGTTCAGTATTGATTATGAATTATCCTAAACTCAGTTAAACTAAACTCAATTAAAGAAGCATTGCAGGGTCCTCCCTGGTGGCACAACAGGTTAGGACACAGCAGCGCAAGCTAGCAGGAGCCACTTCAGATGAGATCGATCCCCTGCCCCAGAGATGACCCACATGGCACAGCAGACCTCTCCTGACCTGCCCGCTGCTCCCCTCGACAGTGTACTTCATCAATCTGCCTTTTCTGCTCCCGACTCTGACTCTGGTGAATCGTCTCATCATCCCTGCACTATGGCCTGTACTCTAGTTCTGTTACATAAATAAATAGATTTTTTTAAAAAAAGAAGCAGTTCATATTTCCTTTATGTTTGCTTAAAAATTATGTGAAAGCAAAGTTTAGGGGGGAAAAGTGGGAAAACCCATAAACTCATTATTTAGTTCAAGTTGTATATTCTGAACAATGTTATATGTACATTTCATTATAAGTTTGGGCTATGGAAAAGTACTGTTTTGGCTCTTTCTGCTTCCTTGTCTCTGTGCAAATGTCCTTTCCTTCACTATCCTTTTTTTGATAATAAATTTGCCCTTTTGGATATTAAAAAAAAAAACAGGTCAAAAACAGCCATATATTAGCAAATACAGTCACTCCAACTGGCCAGCTTTAGTTACTTAGTATTTTAACACAAAATATTGCTTACCAGAACATCAATTAATGTAATCCATTACATTAATTGACAGAAAAATAAAAACCATATAATCATATCAATAGATGTGGAGAAGGTACTTGACAAAGTTCAATATCCATTTATGTTTAAGGGCCTCAAAATTGTCAGAATAGAAGGAACATACCTCAACATGATAAAAGTTATATATGACAAACCCACTGCCAATATTATCCTCAATGGAGAAAAGCTGAAAGCCTTTCCTTTGAGATCAGGGAGAAGAAAAGGGTGTCCACTATCACCACTGCTCTTCAACATAACACTGGAAGTTCCAGCCAGAGCAATAAGACAGGGAAGAGATATACAAGGAATCCAAATAAAGAAAGAAGAAGTAAAACTATCTTTATTTACAGATGATAAAGTTAATTTACATGGAAAAACCCTAAAAACTCCATAGAGAAACTAATCAAAACAATCAACCAGTTTAGTAAGGTAGCAGGATATAAAGTCAACACACAGAAGTCAGGGGCCTTCCTATACACAACCAATCAGAAGCAGCAGAAATAAATTTAAAAAAAAAATCCCCTTTTCAATTAAAACAGAAAGAATCAAATACTTGGACTCAACCTAGCAAAAGAAAACTACAAAATATTGTTAAAAGAAATACAAGAAGACACCAAGAAATGGAAAGACATTCCCTGCTCATGGATTGGGAGAATTAACATCATCAAAATGGCCAACCTAACAAAAGTGATATACAGATTTAGTGCTATCCCAATAAAAGTCTCAATGACATTCTTCAAAGAAATAGA